CCGGGCCTGTTTAGGCTTCTGGGTCTTTTGAGCCACTTTGGTTCTGGTGGGGGCACAGCTGGCCAACAAAGGGATGCCCCTGGCCTTCACTGGGAGGGATGACGGTGATCTCTGATGTCACTTAATGCTTCTTGGGAACGGGTCCCTTAGAAAACCAACGGAGGCCATGGCTCTGTTCCTTAGGAAGAGGCACATAAGTGCACACCCCTGAGTGTGGCACACGTGCCGGGGGAGGCCCCGACCTGCAGAGGCACCAGGGGCCTGGGGTGGAAGTCTAAATCCGCTAGAGATGAGCCAGCCTGTGGCACTCGCCTTGGCCCCGCAGAGCCGTGTCTGCTGGCGCCTGGCTGCAGAGGCATCTGGGCCCAGAGGAGGTGTGCCCGTGAACCTTGTGGCGGCTTTACTGCTGGGACCAGAGAAGCTGGAGGACCAGGAGCAGCGTGCTTTTCTCATGAGCAGCCGGGCCCTTTGATGTGGCAGTCACTCCAGGGCTCAGGCCCCAGGTTTTCCTGTTCTATCAGCCAAGGAGCCCGGGCACAACTTGGCTTCAGCTTTTCCCAGCTTCGATCACCTTCCCTGCTGCCCGCAGGGCCTCCGCTGAACGGGCTGGAGGGTGGAGCAGGTCAAGTCCTGGGGATGAGGTGGGGTGGAAGGTGAGTGGCCTTGTATCTTGTCCAGCTTTCAGACCTGGATCCAGAACACCATGGGCGAGGTGGAGCAGGCTGCAGCCCGGCTGCCCAGCCTCAGTAGCCGAGTCAGCTATCCCAAACACCTGCCACAACCTGGTGTTCTTTCTTGCTTTGTTTATGGGAAATGATCATTCCAGCATCAGAAAATCTCTGTTGCCCGTGTCCATCCTCCTACAGTCGGAGCCTTTTCCCCTTCCTCCCCACCTCCCTTTCCGAATGCTGCTGCTGTCTGCCTTCCTCCAGGTCTAATGGCTCGAAAACTGGTCCTTGCTCAGCTGCACCAGGAGAGGTGAAGTTTGGGGCACTTGGAAGTGGATTGGAGGATGGTGGTGGGG